CTGCTGCTATACAACTCTTATTAACATTACTGTATTTAATCAAACATAACTAATGTCATTACAGGCAGTCCCCGGGTTACATGGATCCGACTTGCATCGGATCCCTACTTACAAACAGGGTGAGGCAACCCCGCACTAGCTGCTTCTCCCCAGCAGACCAGGGAAATGCGGAACGGCTTTTCTCAGCAGACACCTCAGCTTGAGACTAAAGGACTGAGGGAAGTGAGGTGTGGGAGAATAAAACTGAGCTCTGGAGAAATGTTTGGCTAGAGTTTCCCCTACAATATGTACCAGTTCCGACTTACATACAAATTCAACTTAAGAACAAAACTACAGTCCCTATCTTGTACATAACCCGGGGACTGCCTGTATAAGTCTGTTATGCATTAAAGATCTTGATGGGGCTTGATGGACTCTTCAGATATTCAAATGATGCCGTAGTCACAGTATGACATGTTGGGCTTGCCTTTGCCAAGCACCATACTTATTTTCAAGCTGTTACAGAAGGTTCCCCTGTATCTACCTGAAGTCAATTCATGGGCACACACACACAGGTCATGATCTTGAGAGTTTCTAAGTTCTTTCAAGCTCCATTGAAATCAATGATTCTAAACTGAAAGTCCTTACTCAATTTAAATCAGTGAAAGCTATAGCTGGCCAACATTTTTCAAACAAGAGCTAACAGCTACAGAAAGAATAGCTTATTGTTATATATGAGTTATAAAGTTATATGACTATGAAAAAATATTTATAGATACCTTTCAATGCAAAAAGGGGAGAGGTAGCTCAAACAGGCCTGGTCTACACTAGGATTTCTCTGAAATTAGCCCCATATGGTTGATTATCTAAGCAACGCATCCACACTACCAAGCTCGTTGTTCTGCAATTAGGGGCTACAGAAGTTGAACACTGTAGTCTTGTTTTTCATGAAGAGCAATGCTATTACTGACTGTGCATGCCTGCAATCACAGCAGTGTAGATTCATTGGGCTCAACTTCATTGGGCTCCGGGAGGCCTCTTGCAGCTGTCCGCTATGACTGCTCTGGCCGCATGTGGAGTCTCCATGCTCCCCCCTCCCACAGGGCTCTATAAGTTCCAAGGATTGGGGAAGTGTCTGTCCCACGTCACCAGCTTCATGAGCTCTGTGCAAGCGACCGGCACATGGAGACATGAGCACCCCCAACATCCCCTCAGACATCCCAATGGCTGCCAGCACTTCTGCTTCAATGGCCTCCACTGCCCAGGGATGCAGGAGAGCTCCAGCAAGGGAGAAGTTCAAGGAGAGATCTTGGAGCTCATTGAGGTGTGGTGGGAGGAGTCTATCCTCTAAGACCTCCACACCAAAAAAAGGAACACTGACATCTATGGCAGGATTGCTGCCAGCCTCTTGGCCAAAGGCCATAGCAGGAACTTGGAGCAGTGCAGGCTCAAAATAAAAGAGCTACTCCAGTCCTACCACAAGGCTAGGGAGCAGAGCAGACACTCTGGGGCAGCACCTCAAACCTACTGCTGCTACAACCAGCTGCATGCCATCAAGTCCAGCCAAGACATGCCTGGTGTCAGCCTGCAGCAGGGCGGGGTGGAGGAGGATGACGAAGATATGGAGGAGGTGGCAGCCAGCCAGGCGACAATGCCCGAGGGCCAGGAGCTGCTCCTCACTTCAGAGCCTTTCACCCCAAACGTGTCTTGCAGTCCACCAATGACCCCAGGAAGGGCACTTCTGGTGAGTTCTTTAACTTTCTCTAATGACAGGCGGGCTTAGATGATCAGCTGTGAGGGGACGGCATGCCCTCTCTCAGCATACTCAGTGCTGGGGAGCATGGAGCAGCTTGTTCACATGTCTGCAGACAGTGCAACACGCTGGAGTACTCAGCTCCATGAAGCTCTCACACAGGAACCCCTTAATCCTTCTCATATGGTTCCTGGAGAGGCTAGCCTTATTCCGGCCTCTGTGGTAGGATACCTTCCCACACCAAGCCACCAGTAAGTAGTCTGGTGTCATGGAACCACACAAAGTGTCTCCTGTGATGACTGCCCTTGTAACTTTTCTTCACAACTGGGACAGTTGAGAATTGGGCGCACCCTCCTCCCCCCCGCCACACCTCCCACTGCATTTACCCACCTAAGCAGGATCTGCAAGCGAAAAAGAAACCAGAATGAGCTCATGAGGGAGCAGATGGTCTGACTTAGTCCCTTGTGCAGGAAGTCGAGGCAGAGCGCCTAGATTAGGTCATTGAGAGAGAGGAGTGGCAGGCCGACCAGGAGGAGCGGCAGCTGACCGGGAGGAGAGAAGGGCTGTGTAGGAGGACAGAAAGACCACACAGGAACAGCTCACATGCCAACAGGAGAACATGTTCTTCACCCTCCCCATGATGATGCAGGGCATAGCCTACATTCCTGCCCGCTCCATAGCTTCTACTGCAAGGGTTACCAGGAGCTGCCGAGGCTCCAGAACATGGGGGTGGAGGGCTGCTTAGGTGGCCGGAGGAAAGTGCCAGTTCCAGCCCCATTCCTGAGCCTCCCCCCCAATTCCATGTTCTATTTCAATTCCCTCCCCTGTGGTACGTCCCCCCGAATAAATGATCTCTTTATTGTCTGTTCTGCAGGGGAGAGGAGAATAGAGGAAGGGAGGACAGGGGAAGGGAGAGGTGGGGCATAAAAGGCGCACACAGGGAATGCAAGGGCCCCTTGTGGAGAGCCACAGGGGAGAGTCTCAGAATTGTCTTGTGTAAAACTGTCCTTCAAGGCCTCTCTGATGAGCACAGCTCCTTGATGTGCTTTCCTGATGGCACTGGTGTCTAGTTGCTCAAAGTCCCTGACTAAGCGTTCTGCCTTAGACCTCAACCCTGGCAAAAAAAGTCTCCCCCTTATTCTCACACAACTTGTGGAGCACACAACATGCCATTAACACAAAAGAGATGTTGCACTCACTAAGGTCCAGGTGGGTGAGGAAACTCCTGAACTTCCCGTTCAACGCCCGAATGCACATTCTACCACCATTCTGCACCTGCTCAGTCTGTTATTGAACTCCTCCTTGCTAGGGTCCATGCTAACCATGTAGGATTTTGTGGGCCAGGGGAGCAAGGGGAAGACTAGGTCACCCAGAATCACAATAGACACGTCCACCTCTCCAACTCGGATTGTCTGGTGTGGGAAAAAAGTGCCGGCGTACATCTTTCGGAAGAGGCAAGAGTTCCCAAAGAAGTAGGCATCATGTGCCTTCCCGAACCATCCAACATTGATGTTGGTGAACTTCCCCCTGCAGCATTCAGTGGTCATGGTTTGCTTTGCCTGGCCAAGGGGAGCTGTGGAGGTGGTGCCTGCAGGCAATGGGGCAGCAGGGACGTACTAGTCACCTCTTCCCACAAATTCCATTGGCTGGGAATGGCAAACTGCAGCCAAAGTGAGCTGAGGGGGGAAGTGCCTGTTGACCGTCAACGTCAGCAAAACGTCTTGTGGCCCGCATGCAGCCTGAAGGAGGCAGGTTGCTCACTCCACTGGTAGAGAATGTCACACACTATGCCCTGTAAACCGCACATACGTGGCAACTTTCCACATCTTACACATACTCAGGCAGTGCAAAGCTTCACAGATGCTTGGGATGAAGGCAAGGCCAGGATCACAAGGGGCTAGATTAGCCATTGTAGCATCTGGAATGATGCAGCTTGGCTCAGAGCATTTATCCCTGGCAAGAGGGACACAAACCACTCTGACCCTCCCCTTCCCAGCCCGGAGCTGGCTGACCTGTCTCCGTCAAGCCTCGGGAGCTTCCTGCACTCGGGATGCAAAGCTCCCACCCTACCTTCCCCGATCTGCCCCGACTCTCTACACAGCCTGTGTTGTACAATGCTCAGCTTGTTTAGGTGTCATTATGCACCTCTCTCCTCCATTCAAAGAGAACTTCTGTTGCTGTTGACTTTATGTGTCTTCAGATCATGCCATAACTCTGCTCAGCTCCTTTGTCTCCAATGGGTTTTCCAAGCTGCAACTGTCGACAGAGGGATGCAAAACGTTGAAATTGCTAATGAAGCAGGAATTTAAATATCCCGCGCCTCATAAGCATAAACATGGCCGCTGCTTTTTTCCCGACACAGAGTTTTTTTGTTTTTTTTTAAAAAGGCAATCTAGACATGGATCTGTCGAAAATAAAGCCTTTTTCAACAGATCCTGTATTCTTCAAAAAATTAGGAATACAGGATCTGTCGAAAAAGGTTTTATTTTCGACAGATTTGCGTCTAGACTGCCTTTTTTTCCCCCCTCCGAAAAAACTCCATGTCGAAAAAAGTGGTGGTCAAGTTTATGCTAATAGAGGCACGGGATATTTAAATCCCCGCTTCATTAGCAATTTCGATATGCCTAATCTGCATCTCTCTGTTGACAGAGAAGTGTAGTCCAGACACAGCCTGAGTGACCATTTAATTGGCATTTAGTAAATAATTCTATCAATAATGCACAAGCTAGAATAGATTCCCGCTTCCTTCCTCTGAGCTATATTGGTTCTGAAGGCTGAAGTGAAATGCAATATAAAACATTTACGTTACAGAAGTTTTGGAAAGAAATAGGGAGGAAAACACATAAGCAGAAAGATTGCAACATCTTGCTGTCACTTAACACAAAGTTTAGGATGTGGCATTCAGCACCTTTTCTGAAAGGCTTTTGTGTTCATTTTCACCAGTAACTTTAGAGCTTTTTGGAAACCAACCTGGATTTCACAAAATTGCTGAAAGTTACTTTAGCTGATTTTATTTTACGGATATCCAGCAATAGTTTCTCAATTGCATCACAGATACAAAACAAAATGCTTGGTATACTGGGAAGCCACCTTCAAAATATGCTGCTTGTTTCGTAAAAGATACATTTCTTCATACTATGTTTCACCTCCAGGCCAAGTGAAGGCACTAACAGAATGCTGTACCTGCCCTTCTTTCTTCTAAATAGGGTTTATTAGACTCTTATTAGTAAGCATTGGCTTTTGTTAAATATAAAATTCAGTTACTTACTGCGGAAAGACAGCTCCTTTGTTCCCTGATGATTGCACAGAATCCCAGAAAACCTGTAATCATCACAAGACCTCCTGCAAAGATCAGGATGTATGCAGACACGGCAAATGTACTAGATGCCAGGATATTCAGATAGTCGCTTTTGTCAATTAGGGTCCATATGCCAACTGCCATCACTGCAGCACCACCCACCTGTGGCACAAATGGAGAAGGAAATGTACACAATGAAGCCACGCTATGAAATATTTATTTCTGGAATTTAGAACTTGTACCTTAGCTGAAAAACAAATCAAGTATCTGGGGAGCTCTAAGAAATAATTCAGAGTCATCAGATGATTACACAATCTTCCATGTTCTTGGTGTGCAAGCAAGTTTTGACTCTTAGGAAGACATTTGCTTTGCTGTTAGTTTTTAGTTCTACAATGTTCTGTGCGGAAGCAACTCTGGGAGAGAGGAAGATGTGCAAGTAACAGGAGAGTTTGCTATGTGTCCGGAGTTCTAATCAGAGGCAATTCTTGGGACAGAGTTGCCTCCTGGGAACTGGGCCTTGGCATTCGGCTAAAATTCCTGGAAGAGGGGACTGACCAGCATACTGTTTTACTATATCATCTCGGGATAGTGTATATGTGTAAATCAATAAGTTACATTATAACTAAATTCCATATTGCAGATTTCTCTTGCACCGCAAAGCTGACCTGTAAGGCCCTTGATTTCGACTACTGATTGGCAGAAGTATGATACTTTCTGAAGGAGACACTGGTGTCAGAAAATGGCAACATCATCACCAGCAGCACGACCAAATTAGAAGTCAGTCTATTATTTCAATTCCTGAGTAAAGAATTCTGTCAATAATTCAGGGTGAGACTGGGGTGACATGGTTCGGCTGGGAGGTGAACACAGCAATACAGGAATGGACATAATGGACAAGCAGCTAATGCTATTTTAGTTATTTGAGCTGGTAAAATAATTTAAGATTCCTTAATAGACTTATTCTAATAATCTAATCATATTTTTTTCATCCTAACACATATTGTGGTATCAGAGCATCTATACATGGTATATTGATGAATAGAGAGACTGACTTTACTCTTGTTTGGGTCATAAAATAATGACCCAAAGAACAACCAGCTCAGTCTAAGAGTGTACGTTTACACAGCAACGTTATTTCGAAATAACTAGCATTATTTCGAAATAACTTAGTCCGCGTCCACACAGCAGCCACTTATTTTGAAATAATGTGGAAATACTGTCAAGCTGGAGGACTTCTTACTCCGACTCCGGTAACCCTCATTGTACTAGGAGTAAGGGAGGCTTACTTACCAACCAAAGCAGACTGTTTCCCAACCCACTAAAAAGTATACAGTGCAGGTTTAACAACTGAGGGTATGTCTAGACTACATGTAAACTAATTTACCCAGCAAAAGGCAAAGAAGCAGGAATTTAAATAATCCCCACTTCATTAAAATAAACATGGCCGCCGTGCTGTGCCGACAATCAGCTGATCCAGCACAGCGTGGCAGTCTAGACGCGGATCTGTCTGCTGGGGAAGCCTTTGCCGATCGATCCCTTATGCCTTGTGAAACGAGGGTTACAGGATCGGTTGGCAAAGGCTTCCCCAGCCGGCAGATCTGCATCTAGACTGCTGCGCTGTGCCGGATCAGCTGATCATCGGCACAGTGTGGTGGCCATGTTTATTTTAATGAAGAAGGGATTATTTAAATCCCTGCTTCTTTGCCTATGCTGGGTAAACTAGTTTACATGGCTCCGTCGACAGAGCCATGTAGTCTAGACATACCCTGAGTGATTAAAATAATCAGAACAGCATTTACCATGAAATAGTACTTCGGATGCTGTGAGAAAGAAAACTTAACAACTGGGGAAACTATTCCACAAAACCCTGACCTGCAGAACACGCTGGAATTCCACAAGACAAACATGTCTTACACATGCCTCTCTAAGAATTGCTAATGTGTTTTATTTCCTGGTATATCTTAACATTTTGCTGTATGACAATGCACCTATTGTACCTCAGTGGTCAATCGCAGGCAGAGACCAAGGCAGTAAAACAAATATCCTTGTTAGACTCTACAATTCCTATTAGCTCTGACTGCTCCTCTTCCACTCTCCATCTCACTCTCCCCAAACCATCAGCAACAGAAACCCAGCCATGTCCACACACTCTTCAGCCTCCTCCTCCTAAGGTCCTATGACATTTGCTCTATTCCTACTTCTCCCTCTATCCCCACCCTCTCTCTTCTCCTACTCTCATCCTTGCCGCCACCTCCACTCACTTCTTGCCACCATTCCTAACCTCACACCCTTTCCCCTCCTTTCCTTGCTAGCTCTGGAAGTCATACTCCACAATCAAAAAAGATCACAACCACCCATGACCTTCCCCTATCTCACTCCCACCAGCTCTCACAGAAACCTAGATCCTTTCATCTGACTAGGGTCTGATTAACTCTTCTCAGGGCCTGAGGCTATTAGATTTTGTGGGGCCCTGTAGGCACTGGGGCGGGACCAAAAATGAGCAGCTCGGTGGGCTGAGGCAGGAGGGTGGATGTGGAAGTAGTGAGGGCTCCAACTGGCAGTACTGTTTCTAGGCTGGGACTGAGGCATGAGGAGGCTCTCATGTGGGGGTTGGGTTGTAGGGTCTGGGAGGGAGCTCGGGGCTGGGGCGAAGCATTGGGGTCCAGGGCGTTTACCTGGGACAGCTTCTGTTTGCTATGGGGAAGAACAAATGGATCTGTGTGGCCCCCTTTTGGAAGGAGTAATGGCAGTATGCTGAACAGCCCTCCACCCCCTGCCAGGAAGGGATGGTGTGGAATACGGGGCTTTAGTGTCTGCAGCACAGGGCCCCAGGCTAAGCCAGCCCCCTTTGCCTAGGGCCCTGGGCTACAGACACTAAAGCCCCTTTCTCGATCTTGCCCTGTGCCTGACACTGCCCTTCCACAGCTGCACTCTTTCATGGAGTCCTCTCCTCTATTTTCTGCCCTGGATCAGGTCATGAGATCCAATCCTCCTATCCTCTCTCTTCCCCCTTTTGAATAGCACAGCAACTGTCCTGTCTCTCCTCTCCCCAGCCTTCCTCTCTGATTTTGACTCCTGGCTCTTCACCTTGCTCTCCTCACAGTCTCCCACACTCACTCGTGGTGACTTCAACCAGGCTTTGGTATAAAACTTCCCCCAAAAAAATCCTAAAGACCTAGATTTTGGGGATAAAAAAACTGCTACCACCACCCAAGTAATGGTAAGAAAAGCAGGGAAGAGAACTTGGGAAATCTCAGCCCTAAAGTAAAATCAGGACACAAAAATTAACCAATACCAGGTTAATAAAAAAGAAATAACTTATTATCACCACATTACTCCGGTTACAAGCACAGTTGTATTGGCTAGATGATAAGAGCCACCAATTAATAAACTCATAGGGAATTTTCCCCATGGGGAACAAAACTTAGTTACAAAAGAGAGGAAAACCCATTTCTAAATGCACAGACATCAGATCCCCCATTCCCAAAGCATAAAACAATAAAACCTAGTGGATTTATCTAAACTTTACCCTACTTACAGATAGTGAAGAGTCTTTTCTTGGAAAGAAACATTTTGTCTGTCCCCCTCAGTATCTGGGGAGAAACTGCTCAGAGACAAAGGAGAGAAAAACCCAAAAATTCCTCACTACAAATTCATTTTCTTCTCTTCTTCCATCTTCCTTGCAAAACAACTCTACTTCTCCAGCTTAACTGAATCTCCTGATCACAATACCAGCCACCTTTCTACCATCTTTGACTCAAGCCTCCCTCTCCTCTTGCCTCCAGTTCTCTCTCTGCACAGGATCTCAGTTTCCCACGAGAAAATTGACCAATATGACATAACCTCTCTCCTCTCCTCAGTTTGCCTCCCCTTATTTCTACAACTCTCTTCCTCTGTCACAGGTGAGGAAGTGTCTTGTCTGCTGTTCTCCTTTAACCCCTCCCATTTGCCCAGCAACTGCAGTCCCAATCTCCCTCATATCTACTCTCATCCCCTCGACTCTTCTCCATAACTTCTTATGCTCTTACCCCTCGCAATACAAACATGCTTCTGTCTCTCCTATGCTTCTGTCTCTCCTATCTTTAAAACCCTCCCACCTCTTTACCCCATTTGCTTCTTCCACCTACTGCTACATCTCTCTTCCTCAGCAAATTTTTTTTGGGGGAGCATTCTTATTTTGGGGATTGGTTAAAGGAAAACTTTAGTATTAAACAAGGGCTGAATAAACAGATGAGTTTGTAGTTAGAACCAGAAGATACTAACATTAAAAAAAAAAAAAAAAAAAAGAGTAGCTTAAGCACCTGCAGGATTGTAGCCTTTATGATATATTTTAATTAATATTAAATATTTTTAGTTACAATTAAATTAGGAACCCTAGTCATGGATCACTATCCCTGTGTGCCACACACTATAACAAAAAAACAAAACAAAAAAAAAGGAGCACCTACCCTAAAGAGTTTCCAATCAAAGTAAAAGACGAGAGACAATTGGTGGCTAAAACACCTGGTGGTTGCCAGGATTTAGGAGGGAACAAAAAGTGAGCTGTGTCGTCTTCTCCCTTCTTCGCACTCAACTGGACACTCCTCTCTCCTCCACCCCATTTTACCAGCTTGTTACATATGAGGGATATAATGTGAACAGTTACATGCAGGATCCCACCCTGCTCCTGGGGAGCTGGCTGCTGCCCCGTGCTATGGGTGCGTGTAACCACTGAGAATGTTGAACGCTTGGAAAAATAACTAATATTCAAAATATTAACCATTATAACTGCTGTACTAAATATAGCTCAACTCAATTTCCTGAGAGAGCACTATGCAAACTCTAGCAGCTTGAGCTAAAACAGACCTCTTACACCAAGCATTCAGAGAAGATTTACCTCAAGCCCTGGACATTTTCTGTTGTTTTCTCTGTAAACAGCATCCTTGAGAACATTTGCTATGCTTTGCCCATGCAGAAGTTTTCATGGTCTTAAGTCTTCTGTCTCTCTGATCTCTTTAATGCCTGTCAGTAATATGACCCCAAATTTGCTGATGCTGCGCTTTCAGTGGGTCTCACTTTTCTGTCTGAAGTCTTACAGACTTTTAGCTATATGCATTCATGTTATAGATCTCTCCTCTGTGCCTCTTGGGTGGATGCTATGTCAAACCTACTGAAGGTCAAAA